ATATATATATATATCTTGTGTTAATATTTTATATTAACACAGGAATATTTTATATTAAATAATAATGTCGTAAATCAAATTGACCTTCACACCATCAATAAATCAAATAAGTATGTATCGCACGTAGCCGCAAGCGTGTCGTGTGCAAAATAACTACATAAAGTAGCCGCAGCGTAAAAAGGGTTGCATTCTTATAGGATTTAAAATTATGTAATTTATTATGAAATACTATATGTCATACTGTAATTAAATTCATAAATTATTTCTTTATAAATTAAGCAATAAAAACAGTCAAAATAATATCAAAATTTATAATAAATACTAAACTTTTTCTCAGATCTCTCATTAGAATAAATATTTATTCATTGTGCTTTTTTATAATTTCTTATCTGCGTGATTTGTCTATAACGAGCAAACTTGTAAAGATACTATAAAAATGCATTTAACAGTCACAAATATTTTCGAATAGTTACATAACGATTATCGATTTGATTCAGTATAAATCGCCTCAGCTTCAGTACATCGTCACGAGTGAAATAATTTTCATGTGTAGAAATGACTTTTTCGTATAGAAGAATAATCTTTGCATGAAAAAGTCTGTCGCATAATAAGATAAAAACAATCGTTTCTCTATCAGGACACGATCATCGATCATTCATCGGCGTTTTTTTAAATTTGAAATCGAATTCGATTTGTCATAGAATTTTGAGCGTCGCAGATGTGCATTGCAGGTTTATACAAACGCGCTTAAACGCACGCGCTTAAATAACGGTTTGTACACATCTGTCCCCCATTCCGGCCGGTACGTAATAGGGGTCGTAAGGACCCCTTCGTGCTCTTACGAGACGCGCAGTTGGACTCATCGTATACGTATGGCATGCATATCCATCGACAATGAAAAGGCACGGCCGGTCGCGGCCGAACAATCTCTGGAAACTGCGTTATGTCCCGATAAAACGAAGAGATTGTTATTACCTCGATGCAAGGAAACGTATCGTTATGCTATTGCTACGCCCATTAGCGGCTTCGATACTCGCTATTTATCGATAGCCCCGATCTCTGCTAATTAACAGCGGGAATGAGTCGTTTTCCCTTGGCATTTTCCTCAGATTGTTCATCGTTGCTACATGCATGCTACATAATAGAAATATCTAATTGATTTTTCTTTCTCGTCAAATTATACAGGATGTTCAAAAAAGGTAATAATGAACTTTAGGAATATGTCATATATTCATCAAAACCAACCAAAAGGTCTTAATAAATTGTTGTAGAACAGAGTTTCATATTCACCTATTTTTTAAATTTTTACGTATATTTTTTGTAACAAATATCTCGTAAACGTAGTCGATATAGTCGTAAACATGCAATCGTTTCAGAAGTTAAAGAAAGTTAGATAAAAATTAAAGAAAGAGAAATAATGCAAATATATATCCTTCTCTCTCGCAAGATTTTGACAAAAAGACTTTATGATGTATGATTCTTATTATATATAAGTAACTTATATGAATTTAAAATTAGATTTGCCTAATAATTTATATTTGTAAAAGTTGTTTAAAGTAATCTCATTTTAAGAAAAATTAGGACATTCTGATCTCAAAAATAATTTTTTTCAAAATTAACTTTTTTTTAAACTTAAGTTAATTAACTTTTATTAATTCTTTATTCCTTCAACTTTCAACTTAATTTTATTAATTTTATAAGCCATTAACTTTAACTTAATTTAGTTTAAAAAAACATTAACTTACTCAACTCTGTGAATCCATTTATTTCGAAATATATAAACGTGCAATCGCTCGTATACTCGTTCTTCATAGACTTCTAAAGTTGAAAATAATGAATATCGTCGGCATTTGATGTTTATATAAACATATGCATCAGTTGATACATTGAACGAACTGACTTAACTGACACTTTTGGACTGACTGACTTAATTGACGCTCAGAAAATTGAATACTGTTGTCAACAAACAAAAAATAAACCTGCAATAAAATCTTTGAATGTGTTCAATTTTCAATAAAAAAACATGCCGAATAGTGTGTTGAAATAAACGGAGGGCGCATTGAATATCTGTTATAGATTAAATTTACTTTTTACGCTTTACAAACTCGGAAATTAATGATTTTTAAATTTACTGCTTATTAAAACTTTCGATTTGTTTTCACAAGTAATATATATTTCTAAAGTTTGGTATCAATCAAACTTTTTTGAACACTCTTAGAACGTCAAACCAAGTCAAAGATTTTTGAAATAGCGAAAATTCATTTTGACAACATCTCAAAATGACCTGAACTTTCTGACATCTCTTGGATAGAGACGACGATGACTCTCTCAAGATATTTTCATAACTAATTTCCATTTCTATCAATATATTGAGTTGATTAGAAAATTGAAGAGCCGTTTTTTTTAATTCAAAATTATACATAGAATATATTTGTTGTTGTTATATATCCAGTAGAGTAAAATTTTAGCTTCAAAAATTGATTTTTTAAATTATGGTAATATTATGATAATTTTTAATGAAGTTACGAGCAATCAAAGTCAAAATGCTCCTTTTATTTAATTCGCGATAACTCAGTAACAAAAAATTTTAGAAATATTTTTTAAAAATGATTTTGTAGAGAAACTTTCACTTGGAAAGCCAAAAATTTTTGCAAATTTTTTTGAGACAAATAGACTCAAAGTTAGAAGAAAATTTTCCATCTTTTTCAGCTCGTAGTTTTCTATTCTAAAAATTATTAAACTCACAAAAACTCAAAAACATAATAATCTTTCGAAAGTAGAGATTTCAAGCTTCAAAATCATTCTTTAAATTTACATTTCGTTTATTCTTGACAAAGATATTGTAAATACAATTTTGTACTAAAAGGAAACGGCAGAAACGAACTTTATAACCCAGTAAATTAATTTGAATCTCGATTTAACTTGCTCTTCATTCTTAGAATTAGAAAAAAATAATAAGTTAATTTAAAATTAAACTGCATTAATAGAAACGAGTATAAGTTGGACTTGTCACCAATCGTACTTACGACCTTACTCGAATTATCATACGCGTGAATTCATAAAATGTCCACGTCCTTTAAAGTTTAAATTCGGACACGCAACGCGGAACACGTGTGAGTGACTCAGTCATTCTCACACACACGCATGACGCGTCACCATAAGCATTTTACACGTGCAGATGTTTCGAGCGGGCGCGTGCCTCCGCGCTGTATCGCCTCGATGAATGGTTCCATGGTTCTTTCGAGGGGTAGACCCCCCGTTTAGTCGCGTTCACAGGGGATCAATAATCGTACACCTGGCCCTTAAAAGTACATTGGTGTGATTTCATAGACATCTTCCAGCTCCAAACGAGCCTGAAAGACAGTTTGAGACATCTCATCCTGCGTTCTCCACGTCAATGGATAGTCTCTCCGAAGAAATGAACTTATCACCTTTCGAAAATAAAAGAAAAGTATCTTGTTATACCTCTTATTGCGTGCAGACTTTACTGATTGCCAAAAGCTATTGTTATAGCTTTTTTGCTTATTTGTGGATGTCAATCGATACCATGAAAAGATTAGGTGCATGAAAACAAATTCTAAATGAGGTTCATCTCATCTTTAGACTTACTTAATATTTAAAAGCATTTTCTATAATATTTCTCTTTCGAATTGTTTAAAAATTATACATTTTCCTAAACTTTTCTCATTCATTAAATATTTTTAAATTCTGTTTATAAAATAAAGTGAATGAGCGGTTCATAAGAAATGTTAATATTAGAATTGTTTTTATTTTATACTATACTATAATTTATTTCTTAATTCCAGTATATAGTTCAATAGTTTAATAAAATCTATTTGAAACGTTCCTGTCTCTCATATGCTACATATTTTATTTCTTGTCTTAATAAATTTAATTAGTTTCATTTATTTTAGAGCAAACTGACCTCAACATTCTCTTTCCTTGTTTTTAATCATCGCGTTTC